GTAGAGTAGACCTTAGCATTTGACCAATTTTCATAATATTTGGAAGTGTTGTTCATGAGTTATGCACTTCAACATGAAAACCACCATTTTTAAGAATGTGATCAAGATGTTCACAGTACTTCAACAACAGTATTTTTTGCCTCATTTTGAGAGTGATTTCTCCAAAAACATTCAATACATGCTGCTTCAATTCTGGAATGTCTGCCAGTTGAGTGGTGTATATAAAAAATCCTTAAAGCATTGTGCTACCTGATAATGCTCATACAATTAGGCGGATCTCGACCATATTCCACATGAAACTTTCGCTAAGCAATCCTGGGACCTTTTTGTTCATTCATACCAAGCAGCAACCTTTGCCCATTCATTGACTGAAAATGACATCTACAAGAAAAATTGTAACATTTAAACAGACAATGAGCTTAATAAACAGCACCAACAACATGCATGAATGCACAACATGCAAGTCACAATAAAAAATCAAATTTCTCAAAAGCTCAGCTAGAGAATTGAATGAAAAATCGGCAAGCATATATATGCAAGAGTTTCATGCTACAGTAACAAATGAATTTTTCAAAAACTTCATGGCAGAACTCAATGAAAGTTTGTCAAATAAAATTCTAAGGTATGAACTACTTGGTGTTAAAATATTATTGAAATTGGTAAAAATGTAAACAAGCTAAAACTAAACAAAGTTGTATATGCAGGTACTTAAATGGGCCACCCTGTATATGCATTGTTTAGACTTCATTCAGGTACAAAATAAAAAATTGTCCACTTCAGTTTCTCAAAGCTTTTACCAATCAAAGCAAAAAGCCTAAATAGACAAATTATCACAGAACAAAGAACATGGAAAAACTGAAAAATGCAAAGATATTCAAGGTATTACCAACAAATTCCATATCCAGGTGGCCTGATGAGGGACACCCACCATTTTCTAGCTACAGTTTCCAGCTGATTGGCATGGATGGCATTTGCAGTGACAACAAAAAATTATCCAGAAACTGAAACCAAAAGAACCACCCATGATACTCCAGCTGAAAATAGGACAAAATTTAAATGTATATATATATATATATATGAAAATTTGGTCAGCTGCCTTAATAGTTGAACTCAGAAGGAAAAAGCTAATGAAACCATATTCATTACGACTGAAAACCAGCCTGGAACGGGTCTGAATTTACAGCTGTAGTTCAACTGTAAATTAAATCTGTTTCACCTAGGTATATTTGTCAGGGTACTTCAACAACATGGAAGTTATTGATTGTGTTTCACCATTGAAGCTGGCACTTGTGAAATTTGGTAACTGAAATTGTTTTGACTTTGTGGCCAAAGAAATCATCAAGGTTCACCTTAACTGATAAAGAATAACTACAGGATGTTTGGAAAGCCACTCCCTATTTTAAAATTGTAATAATATTGGTAATTTTTTACAAGAATAATGGTTTTTGTGTGAAAAATAAAGAACCTGATGGGGTTTTATGATTTAATTCATTCATTTGTTTCCAGGTACCCTCCATGGGGCCAAAATTGCATCTTTGATACCATGCACAAATAGCTGAACAGTATTAGCTGAAGAAGATGCAAGGAAAGGAGAAGATGGGAGGATGCATCCAAGGCATTCTCCTTTCACCACTACCAGTACTGGACTTTGATGGAGGACCTCCACACTTAATACCATAGTCCTTTGTCCCCTTCCACCATGAATTGAGGAGTTCTCTAGAAAAGGGCGTATGTGCCCATATGCCCTTTTTCCATATCCCTGTCCACGTGCTGCTTAAGGTGACTTGTCATCAGATAGGGTGGTCAGCAAGTAGTTAAGATGCGTATTCTACAAAGGAGATGCAGATTTTCCTATGCTCTCACTATATAGCAGGCTAACTGCCTGGCAATTTCAATATGGCTGCCTCCATGAATATTACATTAGCACTTGCATGATGAATGATTTTGATGGAATTATTTCATCCTTTTAAACTGAAAGTGAAAATGAGGAAGAAACCTGACATGAGGAAAGGGAAAGAAAGAGGCCCAGTCATTCAAGCCTCTGGAAGAATGTGAGAAGTTAGAGATATCCATGAAATAGTTGCAGATTTAGATGATGAATACATTAATAATGGATCCCTGCTGAGTAATTGGCAAATGAAACATGTCCTGAATATTCACATTTTCCTAGCTATTCTTCAAGAAAGAGTTTATTTGAAACCTGCAGATGCATTAATTGATTAATTATTACTTTTAACAGGAAAGAAGTGGTGAAAGATCTGTTTGGAAAAAGTTTCAGCAGTGCGGATATGGAAAAAAGGTGTATGTGCATAAGTGCTTTCTGCCTGCATCCCAGCAATGTGAGATAAAGAAATTCATTAAAACCCCAAGTTCATTTGGAAAAATGTATGAGATTCCATTTTACTGATAATTAAGTTTGGACCAGCTTCAGATTAGTAACAGAAGTTTTTATAGTCGAATTACATCTTTTGCACATATGCCCTTTTTCTAGAGAACTCCTCAATTGACTTTCAGAGGCATCCCACAAGTACAAGTCTACTCACTTTCACACTGCACACTGATGAACACTAACTAACAGGTAATGAACCCCTCTTTTCTCAGAAAATACCTGGTACACAATTCAAAATTCCCTGTTGTATGACTTCCAAGAAAAGGGAGGCTTTTCTTACCTATCCACTTATCATGATGAGTTGCCTCCAATGTCATTCCCACCTCAAATGTACTTTGACTGGGCTACTATCACCATTTTTCCAATATTCCCTCAATGGTTAAGGCCCAAGAATGCTATTTTTTCTATCATTACTAAGAAGGATGGCTTGATCAAAGTCAATGAGTGCTAAGTTGAATCAAAGCTTTCTAGAAATGACAAAGACTCATACACATATGCAGGGTTGTCATAAAAGAAGGGTAAACTTTAAATTGCAATATCTGGAGAGTGCTTGAAAGGAACCACAGTTCTAAAAATTCAAAAATTTTCCTTAATTTCAATGCAACCCTGTATATACATTGAGTACAAAAAAATACTAACCCTCTAGGGTGCCCATATTAGCAAAGCCCCATTTGTTTTTATTAAAACTTGGCACATGTGACTTGGAATAGGGTCTTCTAGGCCCAAAATAATCATATCACCCTGTTATATTTTGCAAAAAATAATCTTCATAAAACAAATTCAGAAAATACCTGCATGGGGGAGGAGCTCCTTAGGGAGATTGAGGAGCAGAGGGGTAAGGGGAGAGCATGTTAGGTGATGAGGTGAGAAAAAAGCTGACAATAAACAAGCCACTTCACCCCATACCTGACAATGTTTAACCCCTTAAATGGACTCGCCGCATATGTGCGGTCTGGCACCTGCCTTCTCTCAATGGAATCACCGCACATATGCGTTCAAAAGTTCCCAGTTAAGGGGTTAAACCAATGCACTTTTATTTTCACTGGAGCACATGCTCCACCTCCTATATTTCATAGAACAGTCACAAACACCACAACATCAAAGGGAACCATATGGCAGATTGCAGTGAAACACTGTACTCCTGCAGAGAGATTAATTTCCTCAACCCATTCACATCTAATGACATACTAGTACCTCATGTTAAAACCAGTCAATTTCACCACTGATATACTAGTACATCATAGGAAAATGATGGGTTACTACCTTTCCATCAACTCTGATGAAAAGTTTCTTTTAAATACCTTTACCTTTAATGTCCACCATGTTCTAGTGCCCCCCAAACAACAGATAATGAAGATCCCATATAAGAGGCTGTACATTAGAAAAAAAGCAAAATAAATCAAGATGGTTGAAAATACCTGGTTAAAATAAAAATATCCAATTTGAATTTCTTTAAAAATGATTTTTTTATATTTAAACAAATCATAAGTTTAGCAAACCCTAATAACCATAAATTGGGCTTGAGGCATAGTTGAAGAGGGAGATGATAAGATGCAAGAACAGTTGCTGTAATTGGAACTCCATGAAAAGCTTCAAAGGCTTTCCCAACATTTTGTGGGTTGGAGAACATTGTTTTAAGTCCTTAACTAAGCTTGGAAAACACAGGTATGGACTTCGTGAAAAAAAAAGTTTAAAAATGCATGTCAACACCATCGTCATCAAGTCAGAATTACAAAAGTGTACCTCTTTTTGCCAGAATTACAAACTCTACAATTTCCTAATCCTGCTCAAAAGGAACTGTAGCTTATCTTCATGAAGATGAGAAAAAGTTCGAACAGTAAACAATCTAAGACTGAGAAACAAGCAACTACAGCTTGTGTAAACAGAAATATCCATCTGTGATCCAACATAATGATGAAAAAAGAAATTAATTTCTTGCATATTTTATTTCCATGTGCATATCAACAGATTCAAAATCAAAACAACTCCATTGAAAAAATATATATTAATTATGCAGGACAAAATGGGTGCACAAAAATATCCATAAATGTCTTCAGAGTGTTTCACAGAAAGTGTTATGTAAGTGCTGATGTGAAACTCAAGGTCATTACACCTGAAAGAAAGGAGCTTTCTTTCAGGTGTAATGACCTTGAGTAAGACTTACTTACAGCCAGCTCATTTTTGACCGCTCACTGACAGCAATGTTGTGCTTTTCTGTGACTATCTCATATTTCACTGATCTTATACTTCTTGATCAGAGGATCAGAAGAGAACTCTGAAATATATATTTATTCCAAGTAATCTGATCACTACATTTAAATCATACTTGAAGTTGGATTTCAGTCAGAATGCACATGAACATGTAGCACTTTCTATGAAACAGTGAATACAATGGATGTGGATGATACCTAAACCAAGCCCCGCTGAACTCCATAACAAATATGTCTAAAATAAGACAGTGGATGTTAAAACAAGAAAAGGCTGTAGGAGCAAACATGAAGCAGTAAATGCCACCAGAAATTAGAACAACTAGCTTTGTTCATGTCTTTTTTATGCCCCCTGGTTGACAGGCATTAACTCCACAGAAAACAAAGCAAGGACTTTAATCATTTCAATCAGAATCTTCAGACAGATCAATATCATCATCTGTTGTGTAATCAGATATTGCTGAACCTTCATTCTCTTCCTCATCTTCTTCTTCACTCAAGTCCCATTGAGGATGTTCAGTGGGAATCTCCACTGCTTCCTTGACATCCAGCTTTATACTATGAAACATGTCACAATCAAGGTAGGAATCAGAACGTAAAACCAAGTTGTAATTATAGATTCCTGGCTTTGAAGGAGCAGAGAATTTAAGTGGAATCTCCTCCTGGTCCATCAGAGTTGTCACATGATATGGAGATGTTATCAATGAACGATTCTTCCTATCACTGATATACAGCCACCAGAACTCTTGCTTCTCTTCTGGAAAGAATGGACAGTGAACTGGATGAGAAATGCGAGTTTTTCCCTCCAGCAACTTCATCTTCTGTTTCTTTGCAATTCGATTTTGAAACTTTTCCCATTCAGCTTCTTCATCTTCATCATCCACCTCTGCAGTTGATCCCTGTGTTCCTCTGGTGTCAGTCCCATGCTGATCATCATCATCATCAGAACCAGAGTCTGTGTCATGAGAACCAGAGCTTTCTTCCTCTGATTCCTCTTTCTTATGCTCTTGCAGTGAACTGGAATGATCACCAGTGCCTACAGGTTGCAATGATGAAGTATTCCCTTTTCCTGCAGCCTTGGGGGGATTTTTCTTTTTGCTTTGTGGCTGTTGTTGGCCTGCCTTTTTTGACCCTTTCTTTGCATTCTTGCCTTTTTTCTTTCCTCCTCCTTTCACCCATGCTGGTTTCTTGGACTTCTCAATATCAGATTGGGTTTCATCTTCCTTCCCATTATCCTTAGTTGCTATTGCTGTGCCAGCAGAGTGAGATTGCTCATTGCTGTCAGATTCTGTAATGAGATCTTCCATGCTGCGCCTGGTCAGTTTCACAGTCACAGTCACAATAGCTGAGGCTGTGATCTTTCCTGTTTCCTCATCATCTAACACTTCTGAACGAACATCCATTTCAATGAGTGGCATTTGAGAAATCACAGCCATAACATTGGAATACTCTTCTGGAGACAGAGATCGAAGAATGCTCCGTCGCTCAGCAGGTGGAAGCTGAGCAAATTGCTTTATGGTTTTGATAACCTTCTTGCGAGTGACAAAATGTTTGAAGTCATCAGAGATATGAGGCAATTGGAGCAATGGGCTCTTGTTATTCCAAAGGCCTTGGACAATCATTGGACTGAGTTTCATCACATTCTCAATGGTTTCCAAGCTGGGCAGTCGGGACATAGGTAGTCTGCCAGCATGGGCAAGCATCATCAGCTGTGACACACACACCACCATCTCCTGAATGAGATCAGGGCACTTCTTCACAATATATGCCCTGTCAATATCCAAAGTTTTTTGAGGCAGAGAAAGACGTGAAAGATGAGCATGTAATAGTGCTCTTGCTTTCACAGAATAGCCGAAGCACAGAGGTCTCTCCTTATTCTTCTCTCCCAAGTTTGTGAACTGCTTTATTAGACCAGGAACTTCTTCATTATCAGATGGACGCGGCTTGATGTCTTTGTTATGATTAGGTTCAAACTCCATGGAAGCAGCTAGCACCATCAGCACTCTGTGCAAGTTCATGCTGGGGGTCTTGTGGAAGAAGTAATAATAAAGTTGTGTAGTGTCCAAGAGTACTGATTCACTGGAGTACTGGATTGAGCGATACCACCAAGTGCCCACAATGATGGGAAGACCAAACATGAAAACCAATGTGTACAAGCCAAGAACCCATATGGAATTCTCCTTTTCCACAATCCATGAAGGGAGAGCAATCCCAAAAGTCATAGCTCCTGGCCCATCTGGATTGCCATACAATTCCCAATTGCGTTTTGCAGTCTCATCAGTTAGGGCCTCATATGCCTTAGTCAACTTCATAAATATTTTTTCATCACCTGTTTCTTTGTCTGGATGAAACTTCAATGACTGCTTGTGATATGCACGCTTGATCTCCCGATTTGACGCACCTAGATCAACTCCAAGTATCTCATAGGGATCAAAGTTAGCATACTCATAGTCAAACTGGCTGACTTTGTAGGCAAGAAATGCCAAGAAAGCCCATCCAGATATAAGAAGAAGTTTCTGCATGCGATCTTTAGTCTTCTTCCAAGGATCTTTCCTCTTTAGACGAGACTTCTTCACTTGACAATTTTCACAGGAGCAAGACTTTTTAAAGCGTTCTGGTTCTTCATCTCGTGAACTTGTTGGCCATAAATAATAAGTTGCAGGGAGAAGACAAAGGCCCAAAAAGGACAGCAGAAAATACAGGAATGTGGAACCCTTTTCATCATACTCAAACTTCTGACCTGCCATATTTTAGTGCTTGTAACTGTTCCACCAAACTGTACAAAAAATCTGTAAGGAAAAATGAAAGCAAAATGAAATTTGGTATTCAGCAAGAAACCAGCATCAAGATTAGAAAGACACAAAGATTTTATATTTATAAATCATTCAAATGAGAGTAAGAATTGTGACACTATGGCATATAGTGGCATAAGCAGGAAATTGCCAAGAGTTGAGGCCAGGTAGATACCCCAACCTTATGTCCAGCTCCACTACCTGGAATTTACCTTTTCGAAGAAATTGTGGTCTGGCATCTTGGGTCTGTGGATGGACATCAGACTTTCCACAAAAGGGGAAAGCTAAAATTGGAATTCCCAAGGAAGATTGAAATATGCCTGTCAGTGTCATGGACTGAGAAGCATAAGGGGTAGGTCCTAACCCCCTATGCCCCACCCTTCCCTATGCCATTGATGGAACACATGAATCACAAGTGTCTGACTGTGACAAGTAGCAAAACTAGATGTGCATTGGGAGCTGCATAGTTGACAGATGAAGATGGTGTTCACCATAGAGGCAAACCATGAAGAAACAGAGTAATTTAAAAGAATAATGAGTATGGTTAAATTTTCAAACTGAAAATCCTTGTTGGAAACAGTTATAATTTCCAGCTGAACCTCAGTTGGAAATTCAGACCCATTCCAACTGGGAAACAGCTGGAAAGTAAAGTCAGATCCAGATTGCTCCTAATTGCAATACACTGGTGGAATGAGAATGTTTTTTTTTTGTTATTCTTGTTGGAGGTTCATTTACTGAAGCAGCTGAATTTCACCTGTTAATTCAGCTGCATTTCAACTGGAGGGTCCTCTGTATAAAATTCTGATGTTAAATTTCCAGCTGTAAAACAACCTTAATCTACCATTTTTTAGCTCTTTGCCAACTGGAAATGGTCAGAATATACAGCTTCTGTCCACCTGAAAAATTCCAGTCAGGATTTCAAACTGGGCCCTACCCTCTCTAGGTAGCGTAAATGAATCGCTGATGAAAAAAGTGTGGGAGGAGGGGGAGGCATGGGAACTCTGGGACATTGTTATCATGCATCTTTTCCTTTGTATTAATGTTTTTTTTGTTGTTGTAAAGTGGGGGCACATGCCATGCCATGCCATGCCGTGCTGTGCCTTGCCTTCATTGAGCAATTCCTTCATCTGATAATTTCAGAAAGAAATACAGTTTGTGTTCCCATCTATCTTCTGAGTTGTCAGTCAAAATAAGGAAGACACTCCTTCATGAGTAAGCCAAGTTTTGTCTTGAAATAGCATTACTGATGAAAATACTTGTGAAGGTTCAAGTCTATAATGTTGAAACTTTCACCTTCATTAACAGGGTGAAAATGTTGAACACCATGAAACATGGGTTCTTGGAGTGATTTACTATGGTCTATGAACAATTGAAAATGAGTTGATTGCAAGTTCAGTATGGTGACTTGCATATGAATGATCATACAGTATTTGATGGATTATGGACCCTTTTTGGATATAGACATGTTTTGGGTAATCTCACCGTACATAGGTATGACATAGCATATATGGACAGTATATGGTGCATATGTATGAGCCAAAATATGAAAATGTATGGGGTCATATATTTCCATTCTTATATGATTTTATGTGACTTGTGTCAAACCCCATACATGTTTCACATATGTATGCCCTTGCCATATATGATCATATACTCATTGTTTCAATAGCAATATATGATCAGATATATTTTCCCATATATCATATATGCCCATTTCTTATAAAATCATGCATGATTTTACTGTATCAGGCAGCAGGGTCAGGCAGGGCAGCATTATTATCTTTTATTATCCCTATTATCTTTCTTGAATTATATATCTTTATTACCTCTGTCTTAAAGTGCACTTGAGATACTGGCATTAATGGATGCAAATGTCAATATCTTAGATAATAAGAGCCTCCCCCAGGTGAAAATGCATACCCCCAAGTGTCAGTTGTGTGAAGTGCATTCCCCTTCTAAGTAAGCGTGTACTACCCCGACACAATATGAAAATCTCTTTCAATGTCAATTGGCTGCTCCCTGGCAGTTGTGTCTTGCCTTGCCTTGCATGGATGCCACATAGGTGTTATTCCTTTGTCTTGTGTACACCAACACACTGCTTGAGGTGATGTTAGTCAGCTGTGGGTGCTGTACGTATGCATACAACAACCTAAGACCATCACTTTAGATGTGAGTGCTGTTCTCCCAGACTCCCACATGGAATGCACTTCCTGACGTCATGGCAAGCAGGTACATGTAGATTTGCTGCATCTTTGCTCTCCGGAGGGCTTCCTTTGAGGAAGTTTCCTGACCAGAACAGTGCTCAGTTCCGCTGCACTGAATGGCAGAAGTATCACCCCAAAGGTGAGAAAATAAAAGTGGCCATATTCAGATCACAGACTGCTGTTCTTTGGCGATTTCAAACTATGAAAATCCCGCTTCTGACACTGCATGACCACTCTTAAGCTTATATAGGCAGGTGTCACGCATCACCCTCCTGATCTCGGATGAGATGAAGGTGACAGTACGGGGGAAGTGATAGGGGTGAGGGGAATGTCACCCTGTACACAAACTGGTAAACACCTTCCAGCTCAGGGACTGGTTCCCTTGTGGGAACAGATTTTCCTTAGTTGCAAGAGTTCAACAGCTACCTACGGAGTTAGGTATTTTGTACGCATGAAAATGTGATTGGGAAGTACTGGTGAAAAGTGAAACTTGTGCATCCTGACAAAGGACTAGACATTTGGTATACCGAAGTTGAAGTTCACATACATCTGAGGCATACCGATGCCTGACTGGAAGGGAAAAGGTGATCGCAGGGGCAATCATATATCTTCTACATGTGGGCGACAAGGGCTACTGGGCATTCATCCTGCTCGCTGTTATGTCAGGCAGCGCATTCCTCATTGAACGTGGGAGTGGAGGTTCTGTCCCCATCGGGAAATAGTGTGCACATAATAAAGTTAAGGTTTATGTGCACTGATCTCAGGATTTGACAGTGTGCACAAGATGAAGGAATACCCACATGGGCTGCATCATTCACCTTTTATTTTTATTTATGCCACAATTTCCAGTAGTACCCATGGCCTTGCAGTAGTGGAGAATGTGTATAGTTAGTATTTATATTGGTGATATGCATGGATGATATCCCTTGTAAAGGTGCTAAAAAACATCACCTGTGCACTGAACACTGAACATTGAACGTTGAAAATCCCTATACGACTATAATTTGCTACAGCTAGGGCTGGGATCATAATGTATTCTGGACATTTACTACTTGTTTCATGAGGAACAATGAAAGCAAAAAAGCCTACTCTTCAAGTGTTTTGAAAAAAAGTTGATTGGAATACTGCCAAGGCTGGTTACTATTATTCCATTAATTGAAGCTTTCATCCAGTACTTCTTTCAGCACTCTCATGTAAAAATTAAAGCAGGTAGGTTGATTTCCAAAGCTAATTGAAGATTGCACTGGTTTTTAGAAACGTTCATTCCTTCAAATATGTTATTCCAATAACCTTATTCATTCATTTGATGTTCTTTGTAATGTGACTTACAGGTAAGAAAAATAAGAATCACACTGTGGAATTCCATTAAGCAGTATAGGAAGAAGTGGAGTTGAATATAAAATATATAAAATATACTCATCTTGCCTTCTGTCTCTGGGTCTTTGCATATAATTGGCAGCTGATGATGGCTTCAATCATACCACAAATCAGGTGGCAATTATGAAATTTATTGAATTTTTTAATGAGTAAATAAACTTTTTCCATGTTCCTGAAATTATGATAGCTACTTAATGGGGGTTTTGGTTAGTTGAAATTCAAGGATACCTGAAAAGGGAAATATTCACAGTGGGGAAAGAGGAGACTGAAAATTAGGACTATGGCTGGTGGAATTAAATGGAAACATATTCATTTTAATGGACCTTGATAATTTATTTTTATTTAAATTTTTTTTTTTGTTGCTTTGTATTCCTTGAGTTTTTTATTTTATTTTATAACCTTTGTAGTCTTTTTGTTGGTGCTCGAGGGAGTACAGAGGAGGGCCACAAGAATGTTTAAGGAGGTCAGGGGACTATCATACGAGAAGCGTTTAGAAGTGTTGGGACTGTATTCGCTCGAACGAAGGTTAAGGAGGGGTGATCTCATCCAGGCTTTCAAGATAATTAAAGGAATAGATAACGTCGAGTGTGGTAGATTTTTCCGGTTTGCTGGCAGCAAGAGAATGAGAGGTAACCAACTTAAGTTGAGCAAACCGCAGGTGCTGCTCAGGTTGAGACAGGAATTCTTTACTTGCAGAGTGGTGAACGCGTAGAATGCATAAGATGACGAAGCAGCCTGGAATTTAATCGACTTCTAACACACTGTAAATGCTCAATAAATAAATCATACATGTCAACTTTATCAAACATGAACTCTAACTCAGACTGTCGGTGCTTTCCTGAAGAGACTGATGAGAAAAAGTAAGCAACTAGGATAGTCAAAAAAACAAAAACAAAAAAAGTAAAAAAATATTTAGCTTTAAGAGGGTTAGGCCTGCCCTAAAATTAAGAAACGCTCGACCTCGACACGTGATATCGAAATGGGTGAAATCGCCTCTTGATATCACTATCTCGAATCTATGACCATCATAAGGAAAATTATTGAGCCTATAGTAATATAATGAAAGACCTTCGGACCCATCATAAATCACTGAGACCATATTTGATAAGGGAGTTTCTATATCCAGGGAAGGATACACTTATCTCATCAGAAGTAACTTCATGAATCTCTACAGCTTCACATCCCTATCCTACTAGTCACACGTCAGCACGTGTCGAAGAGTAAGACGCGCACCCATACCCCTCGGGGAATGTGGAGCACTGGAGTTCACCAGTGATGTGATTAATGAATGTCGACTAAATCTGAAACATAGGGCTGACAATATGAAATTCGTATATTTTTGTCAATTTTGGCGGAAGTATAATTTTTTTAATTTGTGCTGGGTATATCTTCTTGAGTCTTTGGGACAACGACAAGGAGCCCGGAGGAAAAATAAGAATGAAAATGATGGAGAGATAGGGGAACCGTAACTGAGACTCGGCGATGCTGCGATCACGTGCAGCGCATGCTTCTCAGACATTTGATGGTGGACTTTAGAGCGTTTACCCATCAGCTTGCAATATCATTGGACGTCGCACGCCCATTAACGTGAAATTACAATATCACTTCATGACCTCATTGAAGCCAGAATTGAACAACTTGGTGAATGACACAAGGAAATTTGTTGAGGTAGTTCTATCTCAAAATCAGCCCTGTCCGAGTAGAGGAAGCTGGGGGTTTACCTATTATGGCTAGAGCTAATATACCATCAGAGCTAATGAACCACCATGCCTGGTTTATATTTGGTTCAGAAGGTGAAGGCCTACCACGTGTCTGAAGGAAGCTCATTTCGTATCTGATATGCACTTATTATTTTAAGTATTTGTTGAGTCTATTGGGAAATGCTAATAGCTTTTTTTTTTCTTTACATGAGATATTTTCAGCCTATGAAAGCAAGCCTTCTTGTTGGTATTTCACATAGGTGAAAAGCAGAAAAATTATCATAATCTCATTTGCATTCAATTATACCAAAAACTGGCATTGCTCAGCCTATTCCTAGAGGTAAGCAGGTTATAAGGCCATTACAGTACATATACCTTTGAGCCAACATAGCTGCTATGAAAATAGTCCCTCCTGCTGTTGTCTTCAACCTAAATGCTAAACTCATGTTGGAAATAATTGCTATAGCACATAGAAAGTGTAGCAAAGAAAAATCGATAAAATATTTTAAAAAGCTGCAATCATATGCAAGCTCATGGCACCTGTATGCAAAGTCTTTAGGCCATAGAGCCTCTCTTGGAAATTGAGTTGAAAACGTGTTTGCATAAAGAGCCCATCCCAATGTTCTGTCCTCACTGGACATGTGCTTCTCCATTCTAGACCTTTGAAGGAATAGGAAAAGGTGCTTTCTTCCAACTACCAAACAGTTAGCATGATTTTATCCCTACTAGGTCATGGGATCAGTAGGCTTTTGACTATATATTTAATATCCATGTCATATTTGTGACATGCAAGTATCACTAGAAGTTTTTGTCTGTCTTGTGAAGTCCTCTTCCTGGCTGGGAATTTTTCTTCTTATACTAACTAGCAATTAGTGAAAACCATTTTGTAAAATTTGAGAGTTCTTTGCTTTGGACCAACTGGATATACTTTTGTTCATGGTTATTGCATGGATTACATTGAAAATTTATTTTTTATGTAATCATCAAATGAGGACCTTTTAGGAGTGAGACCCTTATAAGAAGTACTTATGGGAACATTCACATTCATCTTGGGGTTGAGTAAGCAGCAATGAACTCGATCTTGCATAATATCCTTGGTCTTGGAAAGAAAAGTGTTATCTAACATAAGATCACCTTGCAGGCCATAAAGGGATAGTTTACTGACTTAAAAATAAGTCAGCTTCCAGTTCATTTGCATAAAAATCCACAGTGATCAAATACTGGATTCTCTGCTTTTTCTGCAGAGAAGAAGGGGTTCATGCCTCTTTGGAATCCAGTGGTGAAATTGTTGAATCCTATCTTGTGTGGTATCATTATTATGCAAACTATGTCAACTTAATCTATCCCACTTGAAAATTCCATATATGACAGGGTGTATGATTCTATATGGTCATGTATGATCGTATATTTGTCATATACCACCATACATGTATTCATATATTAACAATTGTATGGTTTATAATATGTTTTACGTGCATTGCAATATTAAGTGTGATGGGCAAATGACATCATGTCTGATATGTGATGAATATCCATAGACCATCAGACTTGTCTTATATGAATACATATATGCTGGTATATGGCAAATATATGATCATACATGACCATTAGAGTCATACACCCTGTCATACATGGAATTTTCATGTGGGTAGCAGCTAGAAAGTTAAGTCAGATCCAGATTGTTCCTAATTGCAATACACTGGTGGAATGAGAATGTTTTTGTTGGTTATTCTTGCTGGAGGTCCATTTACTGAAGCAGCTGAATTTCACCTGTTAATTCAGCTGTATTCCAACAGGAGGGTCCTTTACATAAAATTCTAATAGTAAAATTCCAGCTGTAAAACAACCTTAATCTACCATTTTTCAGCTCTTTGCCAACTGGAAATGGTCAGAATATACAGCTTCTGTCCACCTGAAAAATTCCAGTCAGGATTTCAAACTGGGCCCTACCCTCTCTAGGTAGCGTAAATGAATCGCTGATGAAAAAAGTGTGGGAGGAGGGGGAGGCATGGGAACTCTGGAACATTGTTATTGTGCATCTTTTCCTTTGCATTAATGTTTTTTTTTGTTGTTGTAAAGTTGGGGCACATGAAAATGAAGAAGACACTCCTACATGAGTAAGCCAAGTTTTGTCTTGAAATAGCATTACTGATGAAAATACTTGTGAAGGTTCAAGTCTATAATGTTGAAACTTTCACCTTCATTAACACGTTGACGACCAGCCTATTTTTGCTTGTCCGCCGTGTGGGACCACGCGCATTTTTTTATTAAAAAATGCGTCCTGCCATCAGGACGCATGGTCCCAGAAAACATTTTTTTTTGCCGAGTTTTTTTTTAAATGTTGAATTTTTTGGAATTTTTATCAGTAATTATGAAATCATAATCTTCTGGAACGTTCTCAACAGTTCCAGAGGGTATTCATTGAAAAAAAATCTGCATCCTGGCATCAGGACGCATTGTCACCGTGTTAACAGGGTGAAATGTTGAACACCATGAAACATGGGTTCTTGGAGTAATTGACTATGGTCTATGAACAATTGAAAATGAGTTGATTGCAAGTTCAATATAGTGACTTGCATATGAATGATCATACAGTATTTGATGGATTGTGGTCCCTTTTTGGATACAGGCATGTTTCAGATAATCTCACCATACATAGATATGACATAGCATACAAGGACAGTATATGGTACATTTGTATGAGCCAAAATATGAAAATGCATGGGGTCATATATTTCCATTCTTATATGATTTTATGTGACTTGTGTCAGACCCCATATGTGTTTCACATATGTTCATATATGAGTTGCACTATATGGTCATATATCTTCCCAATATGTGTTGGACTGGTTAAATATATGGCCATTTCATACATGGTCTTATATGAGATTTTCATGTGGGATGTCATTCCATTTCTTGTGGAATGATTATATAGGCATAGCTTACCCTTAGGTGTCTATATCCCAATATTGTACCTGTTGTGTTGCTACTTTTATAATGACACTGGGAGTATGCATCTCTGTGTCTCATGTTGAAAGAAAGAAAAGGCCATAGTGTCCAAAAAAAAATGTTTTCCTTATTTTGTTCTCATATCTGATGCCTTTGGTTTTCAGAACAGAATCCCTGAATTTGTGTATCATCCTATTTTTCTTGCAGAATGACAAAATTTTGTCTCATTGGCATCACTAATGAGGTTGAGCCACCACATTGAAAGGTAGAAGATGGGAACAAGAGCTGCTACATGTAAGTTTAGTACCCCTGTATTTGATAAGGGTACAACTCTCTTTTTTCTTTTCATGTTGCTTTCATTGTTTGGATTATATAACCTAATTTATGAGCCTGGGCCTTTCTTTATTTTTACCAGTTGCTGCAAAGATCAAGAACCTCCAGGATTATTATGGAAGGGTGATGAATAATGTTCAACCGCTTCCATCAGGAGTGGACATCAGTAATACCATTAAGTACTTCTCTCAAGTTCTTCTTGGTGAGTTTTTCATGACTCAAGTTAAACTGTTTAACCCTTTATTTCTCAGACAGAAATCTCCCAGCAGTGGTTACTTTTTTATTATTAGTTATTATTAATGTTTTGTATATTGAACTTCACTGGTCCTTTTTGAGTTAATTTTTGAATTTAGAGTTTCAAGTCTATATTTAACTCAAACTTGAAAAATAGCATGACATACATGTATATCATGCCCATCTAGGGAGCATTTCACCATGGTGGATATATACAGGGTGTCCATAAAGTGATTACCTATGGGCAACTTCTTTAATTCTGAATCTGGGGGAACCAACTTTTTTGTTTTTGTAGGCTGTTTATCATTAGACATTGGAATGGTGTCACATTTTTTGTTTCTATCATACATTCAATTGTCACTGAGAATTCATTTACCAAACCCTTGTTTCAATATTACAAATTCAGTCAAGTGGAATGTTGCATTCCAAATTGTCAGCTGGGGCAAATGGCCTTCACGATTGCCACATTTTGATCCCTTTTGATTTTTTTTTCTCTGGAGCTCCATAAAAGGCATTCTTTACAAGGACAAGCCCATAGACCAAAATAACTGGAAAAAGAAAATTTCTAGTACCATGTGCCAGAAGAGTGATGGAATTCTCATGGATGAAGCTAATGATCCTATTGCCAAGGCTCAGAAATGTCTGGAAGTCAGTGGTCGACACATTGAGCCAATTTGTCGATAAATTCCTCATTTTTATGATTTTGTATTCCCAAAATGATCCATTATTCAATCAAGACCATGATAACTGCAAGGAGTCGCTGTGATAGGGTCAAACAGCAAAATTTTCCTCAAATTGTTGTCTGAATTTCTTCACCAATTGAATGATTTAAAAAATTCTGAAACACCAGATGTGGAAAATTAATTCTCAGCTGTGCCAAAGTGGAAGGAGAAAACATCTTACACTATTCCAAGGTCATTACATTGTCAGTCTACAAAATTTTAAAAAGTGCCAGCTTCAGAGTCTATAATAAAAAGATGCCCATGTGTAGTCACTTGATGGACACCCTGTACATCATACAAGAGGTGTCTGAAAAGTTTCTACAAGCATCAAATAAAAATTAAGCCATTGTTTTCATCACTGCCAAACTCGGTACACAGAAGCATTATGCCTACTTAGCCTGCAAAATCATTGCTGTTAGAATTTATGTACTTCTGACATCTGGAGGGTAACAATTGTATACCCATCTGTAGAAGCCTGTATTTTGCTGTAGCTACCATTCAAAACAATGTAAGTTAGCACTAATTTTCAGTAAACTGTTGCCAGCCACCCATCATGTAACCCAGACATACCCCACTCCAACTGTCATCAGTTTGGTCAGTTGGAGGACCAACTTCATGGAATGCATTTCATTAGTGGTGACAACCTTCAAAATTCTGTAAGATCATGGCTACAACAGGAAACAGGCTTCTGCAGAAGGGGTATGCAATTGTTACCCTCCGTATGGCAGAAGTGCATTGATTTGAACAATGATTAATTTGTGGGCTCAGGAAGGTGTCATGGTCTTGTGTACCGATTTTGGTAGCGATGAAAACAATGGTTTAGTTTTTATTTGAAGCTTGCATAAACTTTTTGGACACCCCTTGTCACTACTTAAGGGGGTAAGTGTCATGTGATACTGCAAGCATTACCTTCTGACTTCTGCAGGTGTTTTACGAGATGTACCACAATCTCCTCTGGAACTGTTAAGACATGGAGGATCCAATGAGAGTCGCCTGGCCTTGTTTCCTAACCTTGATTATATTGGTCTCTTTGAAGCGCTCATACAGACTGCCCAGATTGTCCCCCTTGTCCCATCAGCCTCCCAGTGTAAGATGTTACAATGCTTTGAACATGAATATTCTCTATAGTTACTTGTGGGAAAACATGGTTATATGTGTGCCCATGCAATTTTTTTTTTTTCAGGTCTTGGGGAATCTGTCCTGAGTACTGTCTCATCACTTCTTTCATTTTTGGAACACGAAACTATTGTGACAATTCCAACATCTGTGGTTTCTTTCCTTGAATTTTTTCCCTTGTCACTTCACAAAGATGTCGTCATCACATTATGCTATCATATCCTCCCTTTTGTCATGGGTATGCTCTTGTTTGACTTTTCTTAAAATTCCATTTTAGATGTTGTTCTTTATGAACATATGTGGATTTCACCTATTTTCTTCTTTTCAGTGGATCATGAGACTCCAGGGTCAAACCCAAGAGATATTTCCCCTGGGATCCTCCTCCTGCTTTTTCAATACACTGAGAATGTCTCTTTTCATTGTCAAGTTGTAGACACACTCATGAGTTTAAAGTGTGATCTGTTTAATGATTTATTGTCTGTCATTGCACATGGAACACCGCAAACAAGGATTCCTGCTGCAAATCTTCTTTTTCATTATTGGCCTTCTCTAAACCTGAATATCTATGATAGAAGGGCTGGTCACTCAAAGTTCTCTGGTGAGGCTTTGTGTCTTTTATTTCATGGGCCTTGGTTGGAATGACTCATGTATGAGATTTTTTCTGTTTAGGGTATGATCTCGTCCTCTGTCAACATGTGAATTGCCCCAAAGGCCGAGCTGCAGAGGCAGTCCAAATGTGCCAAGATCATAGTATCTCAATCTTCCTTGGAGGAGATTCACCACCACCTTTGTTTGTCTGCCCAGATTGTGCTGAGTTTGTTCACTCAGAATGGCCCTCTGTTCTGCTTGAGGATCTTCTTTTTCCTCTCCAGCAAGTTTCACTTACATGTGAAAATAAGGTGTGCCTCCATTTCAGACATATACTGCCCTCCAAAAGTCTTGCAACACTTTTTTGTGATAAAATTTTCAGCCCCTATAGCATTATCTGCAAAAATTGTTATATCCTCAGATAGCTTAATCTGTTACCTTTGCAAAGTGCCCACTCTTGTCATGATTTGTACCATTGAGTCTCAAAAATTTGCCTCAGAATCTGTCTTGTTTGGTTTTTCAATTTCCAGCAAAAGAGTGGGGATGGGATCTTCTTTCTGCCATTATTCCTGGCTTAAATTTCAAACCAGATTGCTTTCTGGACAAATTTTAGGGAAATGGTAGCCCAAATCCTGATATTAGTGGGTGCTCTGTGCAGTTTAGAGATTAAGTTACCTGATGAAATATATTTTTTCTCTCTTGACATCATAGGTACTGAGATTTGGTATCATGAAAACAGTGACAAGAGTTTTGGAGGACTATTACAGGAGTGATTTCCTTAAGGTGCATGGAGAAAACATGCTTCTCACATGGCTAAAAGATGAGAAACAGGCTTGCCAACAATGGGTATGGGGACAGAATATAACTGTTCCACTCTGAAAAACCTAATAAGACAGATTCTGAGGCAAATTTTTCAGAATCAATGGCACAAATCATGACATGAGTGGGCACTTTGCAAAGGTAACAGATTAAACTGTCAGAATATAAAAAATATATATAAATTTTTGTAGATGATACTATAGTTGCTGAGAATTTAGACCACAAGAAGTGTTGTAAGACTTTAGGAGAGCAGTATATTTCATGCTTCTCTCCTTCATAGATCTTATTGTTTGTTTTTTCAGAACTGCAGATCTCAGCAGAAGGCTGCAGTCTCCACATGCTTCTCCATGGAATGTGCAAGTTATAATGGAAACCATCCCATGAGGTACTGCCAGCAGTGCCATAACATCCGGCACAATGAGAGACGTGGATACAATCATGCATTCTCCATGAATGTTTCCTCAGCTTGGAGTCTTCCCACGTGTACACAACCGTACTGCTTTGAAGCAATTATTAGGTGAGCCATTAAATGTAATATTCCAAGTACATTTAAAACCCTTGGTGAGTACTTACCTGTGAGGCATACCCTCCACTCACTCCTGGCAGCTATATTTGCTGAAATTATAGATGAAAACTTTAATAGATTTTCAGATGTCAATGAAGTGTTGAAATGATGACTGCCTCAATGAATCCTCTTGACTATTTATGGGACAATTTCCAAGGATTATTCAATCCATGAGACTATGGAAGCAGTTGGCCTCCTATCTTTGTAGAGCCCCCAGTGTTTACCTCAGGTGCTGCATTATTTTCAGGCTCTGAAGTAGTGTGAAGTTCACTCTCCATTTTGTTTATCATCCCAATCTATTGGTTCCTTTACAGTAATTTTCTGTCAGGTGGGCAATCAGAACCAGATAGCATGTATTCATAATATATGAACTGGCTTTGCTGTTCTGACTGTGACATCCCATCATTTTGTTGGATCCAATGGCTGGTGGGACAGCATTGCCTTCTAAACAAGATGAGTATCACCACTGTCTCTCTTTCTGCCCAAGTAACTAGTAATTTTCAACATTTGTTCTGCCCTTTTCTTCATCTCATATTCAAATGTGCATACTCTTTGTCTCTTCCCCTTCCATTGAGTAGCTGTCAACTCTATATCAAACTTGAATGAATTGGTGCTATCATCAGCCTGATTGAAGACATATCTGAAGACCTACTCTTTGTTTAAGTAAGGTAAACCATGCATGCATTTTTTAAATTTTATGACTGGTAGCAATTACTTTCTTCAGGTACTTATATTATGTGAGTGACCCTGATGGGTACTTGCCAGTGAGTATTCACCAACTGCACAGTCTTAACATTGATTAGAAGAGAAAATCAGGAATCATGCTCAGGAAATTTATCTTGCTGCATTCTTCTTAGCTTGTTGAAGGAAGCCCAGTTGCCAATTGAGCCCAAAAATCAAGACACCCATGACAGACATGTTCGATTCTCTCATTTTGACATATTTGAGCAACCTGATCCTGCAGAAGTTGAAGAGAGAAGATTGATTTCTCGCTTTGGCATTTATCTTCTGGTGGGCTTATGCAAGCCACAACCTGATACTCCTATAGTGAGTTGATGCAGTGTCTTGGGATGAGCATGTGACCTTGGTGAGTATATAGTTTTTATGTCCTTGTTTTTCAGGATGTACTGGGGAGACTTCTTAGCATGCTTTTCCAGTGGTTTCATGCTACAGCTTGCCTTCCTGATGGTAAGATTAAAGTCAAGTCATGCTTTACTTTTTTATTGTGCATATATTAAAATTCTTCATGGTTTAGCATTAACAAGGAATTAAAAAAATGGTACCAATTTATGATGCAGACAAGACAACCAACACCCTGGAACAGTTGAAGAGTGATTATGTTCAAGAATGGCTTCAAAGTGTCATGAATCTTCATCCAAATGTTGTGAAGGAGTGTCTTCTCCCTTTGCCTGTGGAATATGCTCGTGTTGGTGGTAATTGGTAAGCTTCTTTCCTTTCTCCTGATGTGCTTCAGTTTTCAGTGAACCACTAGAGTGCTTAGACATATCACTGGTTTCATCTTGTCATTGGCAGGGAAAGTCAGATAACCAGGGCTGAGCATGTGAAACAAGGCTTATCTCGTCTGCTTTGCCTAGTTCCTTATGAACTCATTTCTTTGGACCTCTGGACAGAAATCATGCCTTTCTGGATGGAAGCCATCAATACAGATATTCCTGAAGCAGAATACCAAGACATTCGTGTGGTGCTGACGTAAGTGGTCACATATGGAAGTATAGGGGCATCCTGTAGGAGATAGGAAACCTGTTTTGAATGCACTTCTGCAAGTCTACTGGTTACGTCATACTGTAATTACACAATACCATTTATATTCCATCTTTCATAGTGCTAAATGAGAATCTTGTAGGTTTACAAATATGGAAGAATTTTGTGTAGTGCTTCCACTCCTTGAGGACTGATAGTTAACTTGTTCCAGGGTAATCAAGGTATGTTATGATAACTTTAGGACAATTTAATGTAGGCCTAGGTGGATTGTTCTGTAAATTGCAGGACTCTGGAGTAAAGAATCCAAGTTTTTCTTGGCATGTCAATCATTTTGGAGTTGAAGAGTGAACTTGTGAACAGGGCTTTAAAACAACATGTTTCAATGTCAAGTGTGGTAGGAATTGAGGGCCTTCTAAGTTGCTGCCTAAGTGCACCAACCATCAATTTCAGCTTATTCTCAGCCATATGTCAAGAAAGTTTCAAGGTATGGACATGAACATGGTTGCTTCACTGCAATGGAAAATCCCAAGCATTGGTAGCAACAGTCAGATTCCATGCACTTATTGAGTTGGTTTACTGAAATCAATAAGACCTCTGCCAAAATTTAAATAAGGGTCTGTCCATGGTGTCAGACATGACATCCGGAGTAATAGGTTCAGTATACAAAATGTATTTAACTATATTATGGATGACGAATCATCATATAAAGGCTGCAACAATTTGCTTTGGGTAGTGACAGAAAACTCCATAATCTGAAGTCTTGCACTCTCTCCATTGTTAGAGGTGTACCTATGTGCAAAGAAAAGTGTCATGTGACATTTTGTGAACTCTCAAATTAGTCACTTGCTCTAATGTGCACATATCTGTCATCGAGCAGATCCTAATAATTTAGTTTCATGTTCATTCTATCGATTGAATGAAAGCCTGGAATTAGTGTAAGTCACCCTAAGATTACAACATTTGAAACAGAAAGTAAGCCCTTTTTGTAATGGTGTCAGATGTGACATGCTCTGAAAGTGTGTTTTGAAATGAGAAGTCTGTACATATCTTGTTTTTTTATTTTCAAGATATCGTTCAAATGTGAACAATTGACATCTACTCTTCACAACTGAACTGATTTGAAATGATCAGTATGCATGGAAAACCCATGTTGGCATCTGTTCCAGTAGTCCAATTCAGTCTCTCCAGTCTCTCTTTTCATCGCATTTTTGAGTATCATGAGAATGGTATGAATAATATATCAATCATGACTAATTCTTTCATTTTTCAATGTAATATTTTCTTTTATTCATTTTTTCTGGGAAAGAGGTGATGAACTTCTGTAGTGAAAGTAATACTAGGTTGTAACAAAAGTTTTTGTGCAATAAATACAAAATTTATTTCAACATCATTTGTTTATATGCATATTTGGTATCATTTTGAAGCGCGTTTTATGCTGCGTATAAATATATGTTGCCTTTTTTTTTTAAATCGCTAAATTTATCAAAATTACAGCGTTCAGAATGTGTGGCAAGAAAATCATGCTTCGCAGACTGTTGCGTTGTTTGTATGCACAAAAACTTTCATTATAACCTAGTATTAGCATATTTAGGAAAATTTCCAGCTAAAATCCTAGGACCACCTGACATGGATAGACCCATAAATAGATTTGACTACTGTCAAAATTTAAATGAAAACTCAGGCTTTAAAATATTTTCTGCTGAACTTGAAATGATTGTGGCAGAATATAACTATCCAGGAAATCCATATTAGAGGGTTTCTTAGTAAGTTCTCATAATAAACCACTTCCTGTTGCCCCAGAAACATGAAATGCTTCAGGGATATGGATGTACAGGGTGACCCATTTCAAAAGTTTATTGATGAATGGCCATGTACAACACAAACCAATGGATGGAATAAGCTGAAACTTAGCATGTATACTGCTGGCAGCATGGGCTACTCAAATCTGTGGAAAAAAGGTGGCAACAGATTTACCACCAGCACACAATTTGCATGTTGTATGATCCATGAATGGTATAAATGGTCTGTGTGACAGTAGAATGTTAAAAGTCAGCATGTCAGTGCCTGCTACAAGAATCCAACCAATGCAGAAATTTTATGAAAATGGAAGGAATGCAGAAGCAGCCTTGAGGTTGCACCATCAAAGCCATAACAAGCACCAAGATCCATGCTCATGAACAGTGTCAGGAGAATTTGTAAAGACTGGATCTGTAGCCAATATGCCAACAAGAATCCCACCCAACTCTTTGCATTAAGTGAGCCCCACATTCTTTATGCTTTCTGCTCATATTCTTAGTAGCCCATACTGCCAGTAGTTTATGTGCCAAGTTTTTGCTTTTTCCATCCATTGGTTTGTGTTGTACATAACTATTCATCAGTAACCTTTTGAAATGGGTCACCCTGTACTTACAAATATCTTAAATATAACATTTAACCTTTCCCACACATTCCAAGGAATTTGATATCAGATGATTGGCAAACATGGAAAGGATTGTAGTGAAGCTGTTTGATGGCCAGTGACTTTGACATTTGACATCTAGAGACACACTTAAGCCATTAGGTTGATGAGCATCCCATAATGTTGGCTTGAGGTTTTACCAAATTAGGGTATATTTCAAATTTTAACCCATTTTTTGGTATGTTAACCCCATTTTTGTGTTTACTAGAATTTTTTTTTTTCAACTATCTGGTGGCTTTTGCATTGGAGGTCAACCAGTTTTTGACCAGTAATGCATGGTTGTGATTGTCATGTAGATGCTGTTGGTTTTGCACAACTGCTAGTTCTTTGGAATTCAGAAGCAAAACTAGAAATAGATTGCAGCTATAATGTGGCGAATATATAGTACCTTCTAGGTTAACAGTAGTTTGGGTTTTTCATGATTATTAAGATCTTATTAAGAACATATTTGCAAGTAAATTTTTGTCATTACTTGATCATAAGAGCCTGCATATGCAGTACCCCCCATACCCCCATAGCTATCAGTATTAAAAGATTTTTCAGACATTTGACCTAGATATCCAAGCATTCTGTCATGAAAACCAACAGTCTATTATTGACTGAGAAAGTTAAGCTGAAGTTCTCTGAGTTTCTACCCCTTTTCAAGCTATTCAGCATTAAGTGCTGGGATTCTTACAAATAACCCTGATTTTACCAAAATGCTCAAGTGCTGGCATTCTCTTTGGGGTAATATCTTGGTTAGTATTGAAAATGAAGATGCTGACAACCTTTGTCCATAGATTTGGCAGTGCTGCTATTGACATGGGCCTGGTTGATTGGATTTGTCCATAGACCAGAACTAAGGATATGAAAGAGTCCTTTTGTATTGTACACTGAATCAAAGAAGATAAAGAGGACTTCTCAATTATTATTAATCATTTTTATCACTTCTTGAAATTCTAAGCAATGGACCATACCTAGAAAGGGCCATAGGGTAATCTGGGGGAATAGGGCCTTACAAAATGAAACCTGGTCTTAATGGCCCATTGAGGTCAAATTTGACTATTACAATGTTTCAAAAATATTGATTGATATCTCCTTTAAAAAATCCCAGCAAGGCAAATGCAAAAAAACATGGATATTACACCTTTGGATCCTTTCCAAGTTGATCCCAATATTGCCCCTTTGTTGGGAGAATATGGCCACTCCTCAAAAAACTACTCAAAGTTTTTGCAGCATGTGTGAAATATGCTGGAACATGCTGAGTACCTTGAAACATAATAAAGGAGACTCAACAGTTGCAAAAAGAAACACATTAAATCCATTCAGGACAAGCAAAGAAGTTGATATCATTACCTGACTCAAGGACCTGTTGAGGAAAGCAGGATTGCAATGCTTTTGGCCTTGAGTAGCACTTCATGTGATTGGGAGACAGTATCTGGAGACTGTGGGTGTAAGTGGAGTGATCAACCATAAATCAAAGTGAACATTTGCTATGAGTGTGAAATAAGAGGTCTTACATTGCAGGAAAAACATTGTGCAGTGTTTGCATGCATGCATTTATAGTGCCAAAAAAATCTCAGAATGCCCTTTTACCTTTTTGTATAAGGGATATTTACTTGTATTCAAATTTCATGCCATGAAAATTTCTGGAGTCTGTCAAGTGGATATCCAGGAGGCGGTTCCCCAGCTAACACAAAATCCTACATATATCCGCAGTACGTCTACCAGATGTACAGATATGCTGTGGACATAGGTCAGATGTCTTGTGTTACCTGGGGCATGAGCATATCCTCATGCATTGCCTCCTCATGAACTACATATTTCATCCAGATGTCCAGTACATCTATCTATATATCCAGAGTAAATGCATTGGATGATCTTTTGCTGCCTGAGGTCCCTCATGAAAGGAAGCTAATACTACCAGTAGGTCAGTGCAATGCTACCATGAAATCAAGGATGTGTCCATATTGCCCCAAATCAAGATGGCCATATTCCACCATATTGGCTTGCATGACAAAATTGACAACACTATCTGCAAACCACAAGGCTAGCACTTTCCACAAACATTCTGGAGGGACCATAGAACTTTGAACAAGTGGTTTTTGTATCCATGCTGCTATTAAGAAATACAGGGTGTCCCATAAGTCACTATACCATTTCAAACTGCAACAACCAGGTCACTTTTCTTAGCATTGATGGAATGAACATTCTTTAGAATTTTTTTCACAATAATGGCTTGGAATCAGACTCAAACAGAACTTGCTTCAAAAGCATGTCAGGAAGGTGTATGTCTTTTGGGCGATTTATGGTACACCTTGTTGAATCCTCTTTTGCAAAAATTCCAAAACGGCATGCTTTCATTCCTTATTCCAGACAGACCTAAAGAACAGAAAAAAAAAATTAATTTTATCTCATTAATTGTTTAATTTATCATTTAATTTGCTTTCGCAGACATGAGAAAAGGCTTCACAATTGGCACTTGAGCAACGAAGGAATGTTGCTACCTAGAAGGAGGTCTTTGAGAGTCCCATCAGAGTCCAAAGGGAGTTTCA